TTTTAATTATTTTATTAACTTCAGTCTGGGTTTCATTTTCCAACGAAGACAGCGCGATCGCTAAACGCACGGTCTCTTCAAAAGTAATATTGCCTTCGATATACTTTGACCGAAGTTCTTTGTCCAACTCAGGTAAGCCTACTCCTAGGATAAATATATCTCTTAAAAGTTCATCAAAAGGCGGTTTAAAATTACAAAGAGAACAGACAGTTTTAACCCTAATTGAAAAGTCAATAATCGTCTCACTGCATCTTTTTAACGTAAAAAAAATCCTATTTACGAACATGCTCGAACTATCCTTGAACACCAAATTTAAGCTTTTTATTAAAGTATCATAATTTATCATCTCTAAATTTATTGGAAAGTGAAAGTTCTTAATTTTGATAAAATTGTCTGTTCCGATATAGGCTAAAAGCAGGTCTTTTTTTGTTATTAAATCTATAATATTTCCTACTTTATAAATTAACTCCAAGTTAAATAAGTAGTCCTGAATATTTAATTTTTCTTTGAAGAATTCTGGAATATGGAATTTAATAGGAACTACTTCCATTGAGTCTTTAACTTTAATAGGAACTACTTCCATTGAATCTTCAACTTTAATAGGAGCTACTTCCATTGAGTCTTTTACTTTATATTTAATAAATCAAATAAATCTTCTCTAAAAAAATCGTCGCCAATGAAGTGTTTTATTAAATAAGTAAAATAGGTAAAGTACTAAAAGTATATTTAATACAAAATATCACGTATATATATATATAATGAATTCAATCCTTCAGGTTATGTAATTTACAAACGAAAAGTTAATATTATATTCAATTTAAATTTAATTTACAATTACATTTATATTACATATTCCTAGAAATGTGTAACTAATTAATTAATGAGTCGCTCTCTTTTTACATATTTCAAAAGAACTATTTTTATTTTAATGTAATTTCAAATTTGGTGATGAATGCAAATTTAAAATTTGAAGACTATTAAAGTTCACGTTCAACTACGATCCTGCATTAATAAACTCATAGGTAAGCCAAGATTTGGCTAAAAGGTTGGGAGGGGGAGAGATATCAGGTTAATTTTTTCACAATAAATTATATTGGCCGGTTTTAAGTGATCTAAAGCCTCTGGCCATGTTGTATTTTTTTTTAAATAATTTTGGATTTCACAATATTTAAATATTATCTTTTCAATAATTTTTTTTTTAAATTATGATTAAAGTAATTGGAGAAGAGGAAAGTAAGAAAGGTGGGAGGGGGGAGGGGGGCTTAAATGATATTACAAAAAAAAGTAAATTCTCGAGGATGGATTGCATCCACTTTGCCTATCACAATCACAGATATTGGATTTTTTTATAATTACGAAGTTTATATTTAAGTTATATAGTTTTAGTCCGAATTAAACTTTTTAAACTTAAATTCTATATTTCCATATATGTTTTAAAATTCAACAACTTATATACGATTAGTAAAATTATCTTCAGCTGATAGATATTGAAGTAGAATATTTATAAGAATTTAGCAAAGTTTGATAAACTATTTAAATAATTTGTTACCAACCTTTTATAACAGATATAGGTCTAGGAGATTTTATAAAAGTGTAATTATGATTAAAATGTGTTTGTATTTTGTAAACCATTTAGCCATGTAGTGTTAGTTTTACACTCCATATCTCCATGGGATGTCCTAAAAATGATATAAAGACTTAACACTGCAACATATATCCTCGTGTAAATATATCCAATTAATTTTTATATAAAAAAAATTTATTATTTAAGTAATTTTTACCAATTTCAAATTTGATTCAAAATAGAATTTTTCTAGAAAATTTAGCGGGCTTGGACTAATATGTAGATCGGTCTTAACTTAAAAAAAAAATTAAATATTTTATTATTTAAGTAATTATTACCAATTTCAAAATCAAAATAGAATTTTTCTAGAAAATTTAGCGGGCTTGGAATAATATGTAGATCGGTCTTAATTACTATTTCACACTTTTAAATTAAAAAAAATTAATTACATATTACCATTTAAACTTTTAGTTCTATAGGTTTATAGTTATAGTGTTTGTTAAACACAAAAAAAAATAACTCGCAAAACTAAATGAGAAACAATCGAAGGTGAATGATTTTAAAGTAAATGTCTAAAAGAACAAAGTAAGGCAATATCCCTTTATGATAAAATGTATATAAGCTGCAAGGCTAAATTATTTTTTATTATAAGTATTTTATCCCGATTTGTTGTAATTATAAATTAAAAGAAATAAGAAATAATTAAGTTGTGTGTTTTAAATAAATTTTATTTCTACTTTAAAAAATAAAATAATAATAATTATAATATGTATATCATCGACTGGTATATATATTGGTATATGTAACAAAACATTTAAATTAATACTCAATTAATTATTTTACAAATTTGAATAAACAACACTATTAACATTCCCCTCCTCGACAAAGCATCAAGTTGCTGCTCAGAAGGCACATAAGTCTGTCTGATGGCGTGAGTCCATACGTTTTTGTAGGTTAGAAAAGTTGCTGTACGTTATCATTATTGTAAGGATCAAGTTTGAATATATGGAATAAAATTTTGGAATAAAAGAATTTGGAATAAAATTTTTGGAATAGAAGAATTTGGAATAAAATTTTTGGAATAGGGAATGATGTAGAATAAAAATTTTGTAATATGGAATGATGAATATATAGAATTCCATAAGAATGATAAATCAACAAAGATTATTATATAATATTCGCGTATTATGAAATTTTGCGTTTTATATTTTATTAAAAAATTAAGTTACAAAATCTTTTAAATAAAAAGGTTTTTGTTTAATTCTCAACGGTCTGAAAGGTACCTTGTTATTTTCACTTACTTCTACACTTCCCTCCTTATAAGAATTCTTAGGGTAACTTTCAAAATATTTAAATCTATTAAAACATTCTCTTTTACGCAACTGGTCTAAATGTCTCCTCACAACACCTTTATCCGTATTCACCTGGAACATGGTGTCACTCTCTTGCGTGATGTTGCCTTTGCACCACGTGTCATCGCTCTGTTTCTTGTACCAAACGAAATCTCCTATATTAAAGGTTCGATTTCTCGGTAGCGATATGTTAACTTTGTCAATTTTATCCTCCAATGGTTTCAATAAGTCTCATTTTATTCTAATATCGCGGTTAAACACTCTTTTGGATGGTGTGACACCTGTATTCGGTGTATTTCTGTAGTTAAACAAGAATCTGTCCAGTGCAGTTTCTAAGTCAATCTTTATGTTTCTTTTCATATGAGCTTTAAATGTTCTCACCATACGTTCAGCTTGCCATTAGATTGCTGATGGTAGGCGGATGTTAGTACATGTTTTATTCCATAGTTACTACAAAATATCTCAAAGTCTTTGCTTGTAAAGTTGGTACCGTTATCTGTAACAATGGTTTCAGGTATGCCAAATAGTGAAATAGTTCTAAAAATTTCTTTCAACGTAAATTCAGTAGTGATGTTTTTTACAGGAACTATAATTGGGAATTTACTATATGCATCGACGATTATTAACCAATTTTTTGTAAAAAATGGACCCGCATAGTCTACGTGAATCCTTTCAAAAGGTTTCGTCGCCAATACCCATGGATTTTGTATTTTCTTTGGATTGTCGTGAAAAATATTACAATCGTCGCAACTTCTAACTTCCAAATCAATGTCGTTGTCCATACCAGACCACCACATGCGATCTTTGGCTAAGGATTTAATTTTACCTGCTCTCATGTGACCTTCATGTAGTGCCTTTAATATGTTCTTTCTCAGACTTGTTGGAATTATTATTTTGTTGCATTTGTACAGACAATTTTTAATAATACTAAGTTCATATTCAATATTTTGATAAGTTTTGTTTTTAATAGGCACATTATTTCTTATATCGTTAATAACTTGAGATAATACAAAATCTTTAGACGTTTCATCACGTATTCGGTCAAAACTAAGAGATATATTGCCAAAGTCATTTATAATTGCGATATAATCAATAACGTCATCATCAAATACTTGTGGTAGTCTTGAGAGGCAATCGGGAACAACATTGTATTTACCAGCTTTATATCTGATGTTAAAGTCGTAACCCCCCAAAATTATACTCCACTTCTGTAACCTTAATGACATGGTGCTATTATCTTTGAGCCCTTTGGTGAAAATATGGATTAGCGGCTTGTGATCCGTTACAATAGTGAACTTATTCCCTATCAAATATTCTTGAAATCTCTTGATAGCAAACATAATGGCCAGAGCTTCACGCTCAATGTTGGTATAATTTATCTCGGACTTTGCTAACGTTCTCGAGGCAAAAGCTATTGACTTTTCTTTGCCATCTTTTTCGGTGTGAAACAAAACAGCTCCTAAACCTCTTTTAGATGCATCAGTCGTAATTCTGATGGGTAATTCAGGATTAAAGTACGTCAAAGCTGGAGGAAGGCTAATCAACGTCTTAAGATCATCAAAACTTTTGGAGTGTTCTAAATTCCACTCCCATTTTTCCTTGTTGATAATCTCGTATAAAGGATCAGCTATTTCAGCAAAGTTGTTCAAAAATTTTCTGTAGTATCCCGCCATACCCAGAAACGTTGACAATTCCGCAGCTAATTTAGGTTCCGGCATTCTAACGATCGCCTCGATCTTGTCTTGGTTGGCGTGGATCCCATTGGCGTCGATATCGTGTCCTAAGAACCTCAGACTTTTTTTGAAGAATAAGCTTTTTGCAAAATTAGGCACTAAGCCATAAGATAATATTCTTTCAAAAACTCTTTTTATGTTGTTGAAATGAGCTTCGTCACTACTTCCCTTTATTAATAGGTCATCAATATAAAAAATGACATCTTTCATGTCACCGAAAATTTGATCCATAATCTGTTGGAAAACTGCAGAAGAAGTCTTTAACCCAAAAGGAAGTCTAGTAAACCGGTAATATCCCCTGTGTGTGGATATGGTTAATATATTTCTGCAGTTTATGTCGATAGGGATTTGTTAAAACGCGTCTTTGAAATCGATTTTGCTAAATTTCTTCCCCTCCTTGAGCTTAGCTATAATATCGTTTATTCTTGGAAGTGGGTATCTGAAGTTTTCAAGAGCAGGATTAACAGTGTCTTTGAAATCAGCGCAAACCCTAACGCTCCCATTTTCTTTGTAGACAGCGGTTATAGGACTTGCCCATCGAACATCCGTCACCGGCTCAATGAGTCCCTCGTCTATCCATCTTGTAAGTTCTTTAGTTACAGCATCTATTTTTGAATAAGGTATACGCCTTGGTGGTATTATCTTAGGTTTGGCATCATTTCGTAAATGTATCTTGACGTTAACTTTGTTGATAGGTTTGGTGGTCAGTTTAAATTCACAATCTTTAATTTATTTATTCCATCTTCATAATTGACATCGATGTTTGCTATAAACTTGTTTAAAATATTACTAAAGGCATTGATCCACATTCGACCCAATAATGCATTTTTATTAGATTTTACGATCACTGCTAGCAAGTGTTTGGCGATACCATCGTAGCTTACTTTAACTTGAGTTACGCCGATAATTTCAATTAAGTTTCCATCATAAGCTGAGAGTTGTAGAGTGGACTTTTTAAGATCTTTAATATCGATTTGTTTAGCCATTTCATGAGGTATAATTGTGAATTTAGATCCAGTATCGACTTGCATTGTAACGGTAACATCGTTTATTTTTAAGGAAGTCATAAATGCATTGTCATTGAGTTTATTCTCGGTTAAATTGTTGATATTAAAATCACTATCATTATTATTTTGTGTAACATCATTTTTATTTTCCACAATCTCTTCAATATTCATATTGCAATTGTTGCTATTACTTTGGCTCTGATCATGATATTGTATTTGTTTTCTTAGATTATAGTTTTTCCATGTATTGTTTCCACCATCTCTATTATTGTTATGCCAGGCATTATTTCTATCATAATTGTTTGAATTGCTATTATCGTGCCACCTGAAGTTTCTTCCGTTATAGTTTGAATTGTTGTTGTTTTTCCAGGCATTGTTTCTATCACAATTGTTTGCATTATTGTTATTGTGCCACATGGAGTTTCTTCCGTAATAGTTTGAATTGTTGTTGTTTTGCCAGGCATTGTTTCTATCATAATTGTTTGCATTATTGTTATTGTGCCACATGGAGTTTCTTCCGTAATAGTTTGAATTGTTGTTCGAAGATTGGTTATTACGAAAATTTCTAGAGTTACCCTCACTATCTCTAAAATTATTGTTTTGATCGGCTAGCATTATCATTAGGCCTAAAATCATTATAATTCCTCTTCTTAAAATCAAAATTTTCCCTACGAGTGTTACGTCTACTTTTGCATGGTATTTTATCAATATTTGAATTAAAATTTTTTTTATTTTTATCCAATTTTTTATCATTGTCTACATAATTTGTATCGCTAACGTCTGGTTTAATATTACTACCATCTAACTCAACTCCTAATTTCATCATCTCATCTACAGTCCAGTCCTTATGCTTATTCAGCTTCCTTCTGATATGATCGTTTAAAGTAGACGTTATCAATTTCTCCTTAATTCTACTGTCATCTATGAAATTGCACTTCTTATGTAATTTATGTATTCTATAGAAAAATGTGTAAAAAGACTCGTCGTCACGTTGTACCGCTAAGTTAAAATTTTTTATACATAAATTTATATCTTCCCTCGAAATTAATAACTTGAGTTTATTAAAAATAACTTTATAATCTTTTAACTGTGCCTTTGAACACACGGATGTGATTTTTTCATAAATGTCAATTGATAAGTTACCTAATAGGGTCCTAGCCTTAGATGCGTCAAACGCAATGTAATCCTCAAAGTATGTCTCAACCATATCAAGGTATGTGTCCGTCATCTCTCCAATAAGTTTTGGAAATCTGAGATAAGGATCGCATATAGCAGTAAGTTTATTGTCCATAATAAAAATTTCACTTTAAGAAAATACTATATGTTTTAAGTTATGAATTTCATATCGAACAAAAAAATTGAGTTCAACGTCAAACGGAATTAAATAATTCAATGTCTTTAAATTTTATATCGTTAAAGCAAATCAAAAAAAAATCCTATGCTTTAATTTTGAGTCGTCAAAGGAAATTAAATAATTCAATCTTGTTGAATTTTAAGTCGTCAAAATCTTTAAATTTAAGTTTTAAAAGAAAACTAGATTATTCTAAATCTCTAATTTAAGTTATAAAAGAAAATCAGATAATATTTTGTCTTTATATTAAAATTATCAGAAAATACATAACATGAAAAATGTCTAATTCGTAATAAATTTATATCCTATAATTTGTAGCATAATAAGCGTATCAAAATATAAATTGGCGTAAAATTGTAAGTTTTAACATTTTGCGATCACGCAATTTACCTTTTGTTTATGTATAAGTATATGTCCTTCAAATTTTATTTTTTTTTACATTTTTTTTTAATTTAAAGCAAATTTTATATATATCATTTATTTACTTCTTTTTTTTTACAAAAACGTGCTGGGGCACCATAAAAGAAACAAGAAATAATTAAGTTGTGTTTTGTTTTAAATAAATTTTATTTCTACTTTAAAAAATAAAATAATAATAATTATAATATGTATATCATCGACTGGTATATATACTTATGTAACAAAACATTTAAATTAATACTCAATTAATTATTTTACAAATTTGAATAAACAACACTATTAACATAAATATTAATGATCTTCTACAAATGGACTTATATTTTTCTATCCTTGAAATTGGAATTAATCAAAGATTTTAAAAATATTTGATTTTAACAATGAATACAAAATTATAAAATTAGCACATATTTTCAATCCATATTCATATTTTTCTAAAAAAAAGATCTTTTTTTTACTTTGTAAAGATTGTTGATATAAAACGTTTTATTTTTAATAAAATTTTGCAGTTAATAATTTATCTTCTTATATCGAAGAATTAGATTATTTTTGTTTAAGACTTAGTACAAAAATAATCTAACAACATTAAATTGGAGGTATTAAATTTTAATAAGGTCTAATTTAGCACTTATTTCTTTGAAATCTAATAAATATAATCTAATCTACTGTCTAAAAATAAGTATTTAACTTATATTTTTTTCTTCCTTTTGATTCAATTATCTATAAAATAATGGGTAGCATTATGTCTGTTTTAAAATACCTTTTATTATTATTTATATTTTTTAAACGTTAAATTATAAATTACTTCTTTTATCAATTATACAAATTATATAAATCAGACTATATAAAAATATTGTATAAACCCTTATCTTCATATAAAAAATATAAACATTTTAAAATAAAAATTTTTATCTATTTTATTATTTCAAATCTTTTAAACTGTGATAAAATAAGAAAATATTGATATTTTAACATAAATTTATTTTAATAAGATGCTTCAATGGTTCTCAAAATGTTTAGAAGAATGCTAATGAAAAGTTTTAAATGCAAATTTAAAGTTTAGCACCTAAGTTATTGTTTTTCCCTTTAACATTATCCCAGAAACACTTCTAGATTTTCGAACCGTTAAGTATAACGGTTCAGTTTATTTCGGTTTTTAGTTTAAAATTTAATAAAAGCTTTGTTTCATTTCGGTTTTTTTGAAAAAATTTACATCTCTTCAGTTCGGTTAATAATTTATAACGGTTCTTTTTAGTATGTTCCGGTTTTTATTTATAAATATTAAAAAAAAATAATCATAAACCATATATATTAATCGTAGAGAAAAATCTTTTTAATTTATATTTATATTTTTCTTATTTAATTTAACAATATAAATTAAACAAATTAATTTTTTTATTTCATAAATAAATAAGATAAAAACAAACATGGGCAAATACAATGAGGAATAAAATAACGCATAAATATAATGAAATTTTTACTATTTATGTTTAAAAAGAGAATTAACTAAAATATTTTCTAATAGATTTAATTTAGTTCATAAACTTAAGGCTAGAAAATGCTTTTTCTAAGGATACCTACGTAGATGGAATTGCTAGCACAGTTATAGCTAACTTATAAAGTTCTGGTATACTATTCTTTACATTTTCACAATAATTCAAAAGATTAGTATCTTTTTATAATATCTCTATATTATCTAATGACCGAATTATATATTCTATTTCTATACATTTATTATAATTTTCTATACCCTGAGAATTATTATTATTAAGGCTTTCATGCGATTTTAGCAAATCTTCAAAATCATATCTAAAATATCTTTCGAATGTGAACTCATGGGCATAATATATAGAATATCAATATTCTGATTAAATTTTGTATTAACCCTCTATTGCACTGCGTAAACCTGAATCAACGTCTTAAATATTTTGCTATAAATATTTTTATAATTGATTTTATGATCTAACGCGCATTGTATATTCTAATTAACATATATATTTTATAATGAATATGTCAATCATAAACATAACATTATTTTTTCTATCAAATATTATACATTTAATTTTCACTTTTTATAAAATGGTGACCTTGTAAATTTAAATTTATTTTTATTCGTTACAATTCATTCAAATTCTAGTGGAATTCTATAAATATTTGCAATCTAGTAAAAATAATATCATTTTATATAATGATTACATTTTTATAAATTTTTAAATAATAATGCACTTTTTATTTCTAATAATATGGTATGTTAACTGAGGTTAACATTGTGCATTTAGATGATTTTTGTTATAATAAAATATTTATTGAAAATTTTATCAAATAAATTTATAGCTTAATGACTAGTGATATAAATTTTAGAATACCGGTAGATAGTGAGGATTCTCAGTTGAGTGATTCGTCTGATGAAGAATATATACCATGTGAGAGTGGTAAATTTAGTATTTCTTATGCTATAATAAATATTTTTAGGGGTAATTGAATCAGATGATTCGGATATTGAAAGCACTGACTCTGACTCCAGCCTTCCAGATGGTGGATTGTCAGGAAGACGAAATATATGGAAATCTTCTTTGACTAATGTCCCACGAATAGCCCCAGATTGGAAAGGCAGTTTACCCTTCGCCAATAAAGTTAAAAATCCGATATACTACTTCAAATATTTACTGGGAAATATACTTACTACAATAGTACTAGAATCTAATCTCTATGCAATTCAAAAAGATATAAGCAGACCCCTTAATTTATCGTTAGATGAATTATGAGCATTATAAATCTGCCAAGAACTCGTTTATATTGGGCGGCTAATACTAGAATCGCGAATGTGGCTAAAATTATGTCAGTAAAAAGGTGGGAGTTCATAAAATCATGTTTTCACCTAAATGACAACACAAAAGCATATCCTTTTGGGACTGAAGGGTATGATGTTCTTCATAAAATACGACCTCTGCTGACGATCACAACAGATATTTTAAAAAAAATACACTAGGAGAAAATCTATGCGTCGATGAGCAAGTTGTTCCTTTCAAAGGGCAAAGTAAGATGAAACAGTACAACCCCCAAAAACCTAAAAAGTGGGGCTTTAAATTTTTTTTATTATGTGGAAATGATGGTATTATTTATAATTACGAAATATATATGGGGAAAATTCTCCAAGCCGAAGGTATGCCAGATATAGGAGCTTGTGGGAATTCAGTTCTACGCATGGTTGTCGCAGTCCCATTGCATCAAAATTATAAGTTATACTTTGACAATTGGTTCTCTAGCATAAACTTAATGGTTATATTAGCGCAAAGGGGAATACAATGTGTATCAACGGTTAGGGCAAATCGCCTCAAAAATTGCTTTCCAACAGATCAAGAGATTAAAAAAAAGGGAAGAGGAAGTTTTGTTAAAAAAAAAAGGGTGATCAATGGAGTCAATTTATCTGTTATAAAATGGTTTGACAATCGTTCAGTTTATCTAATGAGCAGCTTTATAGGGGCCCACCCTGACGTGAAACGATTCGATCGAAAAAAAAAAGAAAGCACGTGAAATGTCCAGCCATTGTTAAAAATTACAATAAAAACATGGGTGGAGTGGATCTTATAGATTCCCTAATAGCATTATATAGAATTCATATCAGGTCTCGAAAATGGTATCACCGAGTAGTTTTTCATATATTTGACATGATGCTTGCTAATGCATGGCTATTATACCGAAGGGATTGTAACCTGTTACAAATTCCCAGGAAGGAGCAGGAGTCGCTTTTAACTTTTAAAATATCAGTTGCAGAAGTATTGTGTAAAGGAAATAAAAATATTTCAACAACGAGTATTAGACGAATATCAGTGCAATCTGAATATATAAAAAAGTGTAAAAAAGGTACAGCACAGTGTTTACCAAATTCGGAAATTCGGAAAGACCAATTTGCACATTGGCCGAAGTATAATGCCATAGAGGTCAGGTGCAAATTACCAGGATGTAAGGGCATTACAAAAGTGGCGTGCGACAAATGTGGGGTATCATTATGTTTTACCCCAACAAATAATTGTTTTACTATATTTCATAAAAACTGATTTTTTTGCATTTGTATATTATTTTTATACATTATATAATTTACTAGAATAAAATGAAAAAATGAATATATTTTACTCTTATATGTACGTTGTGTATTCTAGTTAACATACTCCAAAAAACTTAGAAATATTCAAAAAATTCGGGGATAAATTTTTTTCCCTTCTTTAGATATATATAGATAGTAAAAAAAAATGAGTATTATAAATTTTTCGCTTTAATTGGTATAACGTGCAATAGAGGGTGTTCCAAGTTTTAGAAAGTTGTTTTTTGGCAATCTCTTTTTCTTCAAAGGTTAAAAAAATATTATATCTTGGGTGTAGATATATAGCTGAGAAAAAATGTCATTTTTGAAATTTATTTCTCGTTCTTTTATAATAGAAACTATATGTCTGGCAAATGGAATGTCTACTTTGCTCGTTTTGATCCACGCGCATAAAAATTGCCCAGTGTCAATTGATCATTTT